CCAAGGGTGATAACCAGCTTTTTTTTCATTCCTGTGAAAACAAAGCCTGGGTCGGCGAAAACCCGGCTTATCGCTCCGTCCCAGCTGATGCGAGGTCAACGGTCTAACGACTACGCGTTTGCGTGACTATCCCGCTCCCCCAAATATTGTTTGTTGACCGCGCGCCCTGATTTGATCGACGCGTCCGTTCAGCCGGAGGCCGTCTCGAACATCCTGAAGCAGTGCTACGGAGATCCTGATCAGGTCACGGATGAGCTGGTCAAGTGCATCCTGACGCCAGGGCTTGAGGAGGGAGCAGTCAAGGTGACAACCTGACAACGCTGCTTGCGACTGTAGGCGAGGGCGGCGCGCTGTTAGCTACCATGTTCTGGAAGTCGGCCGGCGATCATACATCTCATCCCTTCTATCTCGCCAGACGCTATGGCAGCATATGTGTTACTCCGCACCATCGAGGACGTCCTACGGAAATGCATGCGACCGTAGGCAAGGGCGGCGCGACGTGAACTACATAAATAGTACCGTGTTATGCCAAGTCGGTCGGCGAAAGTTGTCTGCGTTGCGGCGCGATCCAATATAGCACATCCTTCTATCTCGCCAAACGTTTCCGTAGGTTTTATTGTTTCTCCGCATCATCGAGGACGCCTCACGCTTGCATGTTGAAGGCTCGCGGTGCGTGTCCGAAAAACCGTAAAAATCGCATCGCGTGTGCTTTGAAGCCGCTGTCGGCCGACCGAGTCAAATTATCCTGTTCCGTGTGGCGGGCGGACGCCCATCCGCCCTCGCCCCCTCGACACAACTTTATCTAATAGCTGTTGACAACGGATCGACTTCGCTGTTGTATGTGTTCGCCCGCCTCTATTCAACTCTTCTAGAGTTTGCGTCCGAACTTTCGAACCTCTAGTTTTTCCCGAGGCTGAGGTTCCTAGAGTTCCTTGGATTGAGCTGTACGAATGGCTGCTGCATAGTTTTTAGTCGTTCACAAGCAGTGCTCAAGTTCCTGTTTTTTTTTTTTTTCCGAGGCTTTATCAATTTCGTAGCTATTTACAGAGTTCTTAGATATTCAGTTTTTCGGGGCGATATCAAATACTTTGTTAATACCACCTTCTTAATTGCGGAGGCTCTGCTACCGCCGGGGCTGGGCCCACAGGTGTTCCTGGATTTCATTTCTTACTCGGGCGGGCCGCTGCCCGAGGACCTGCTCGCAGTAGTCAAGGTCCCCGTACAGATCGCCTGGGGAGTCGAAGACCCCTGGGAGCCGATCGAGCTGGGCAAGGCCTACGCGGAGTTCGACTCCGTAGAGGTACGATAAACTCGCAACATGGAGATAAGGGTCCAGGGCGGGGCGTGGGTGCGGCAGAGCGCGCAGCGGTTGCGTGTCTTCGGGTAAATTATTATTCGTTGAAATGGTGGAGGTTGGAGTTCCTCACCGCCAGGTCCTTCAAGTGATGGCGTATGTTCCATGGCTGCTACGACCTCCGGTTACTCGTGTTGTTCTCCGTCACGTTTTCGGCATTTTTCGGCCTCCCGATTGAGGTACACCCTGTGCATCACCCCGTGATCCCGCACCGGTGCTGGCTGATTGCGTTTGGCTTGCTGACTCTTTTTTGTTGCCCGTTCCGGTTGTTTCCTCCGCGTTGTTTCCCCTCCCCACAGGGCTTCGTCGAGCTTCCCGGAGCCGGACACTGTCCCATGGACGAGGCGCCACATTTGACAGACCCGGTCGTGCTCGACTTCGTGGCAAAGCACTACAAGAAAGAGCAGTAATTCCCCGCCCTTGCAAAATTTTAATTTGAAGTCAGCCGCGGCGGCATTGAACGAAGCATCCCCGAGTCATTTTTTTGTGGTCGGTATCCTTGCTTTGCCTACAACGGCGAAGGCGATGACCAACCACTGCTGTGTGTTTTCGCGTGAAAGACCTTGCGATGATGAGCGGCGGATCCCGTCGTGTGGAAATCAATCTGATCTCATCAGCGATGTACGTTTTGTGTGCCGGGCATTGTTCGACGACAGTTAGGTCAGCTCTGTTCCTGCGGAGGCGGGTTTCAAAATTCACGTACATGGGTTGCGTGGGACCGGCGCCAAGCCGATTGTTAACTACTACTTTGAAGTACTAATTAGCGCTCGGGAGCAGAGCCAGTCTGTGAAAAGAGACTTAGTACTGCATGTAAAGACAGCATTACTCTATTCGCCGAGAATTAAGTGGCAACCCCGCCCTTGTGCTTTATCGGTCGCTCTCGGAGTTGAAGAAGTTTGCGGCGTCTGTATTGTCTGCGTGAGAATCGCGCCAGGCGTTCTTTGCCCGTCGTTCCGTTCTCTCCCAAAATTAAAGCACAACATTTTGGTGTTTTGATGTGAAAGCCTTGGGCCATGTTGGCTGGTTGCAGCGTTGCTGTAGTTACTGCAGGACTGAAATATCGACCTAGAACGTCACGGGGATCCAGTCTAGCTATTTATGTCACGCCGGCGTTACTCGTGGGGAAAGGGTCGATGACTACTTCCTTTGACTTACGGTGGGTGAGTCAGCACGCGTTGAACTTGTCTGCGGTTTGACTCATCCTCATGTCTGCGGGAGTGGAGTATTTATTATGCCTCCTGCCGGTTGTGGTGAGAGTGCGGCATGTACAAAAGCCTCCATGCGACCTTCACTGCGCCCAAACGACGAGTCGGGTGGTATTTATCTCAGGCGCTCCTCACCAATCAGTGGCAAGGGTACGCGGAGCTAGCCCCCTTCTGTACTGCTTCGGTGTGACACAGCTATGAACACGGCCCTCAGAATACTATTCACCCCCTGACTCCTGACTCGCGAAATTTTTGTTTGTTATTAGAAGTGGTGTCACTTTTGGTCCCCTGCTTGATCTGGCACGCAGTCCCCAGGTGACTTTCTTCCCCGCGGCCGTGGTTGCTGCAACAGACAGGCAGACAACGGTGGAAACGTTGTGTTTTGTCCTCCGTCGGTCCGACAGCGGCGAGACGTTACAGTAGTTCTGCAAAGGATATCGGTACAGGGGGCCACAGCGACCGCCGTTGAAAGCGGTCTCTTCGTACAAACGTGCACCGCATCCCGTGAAAGGATCGGCAATGAGAGAGAAAACCACGCACGATCTTGTTCGCAACCAGATTGAGACATCCTTTGGGACAGAGCGGAGAGGGTTGCAATACTAGGTGCCGGCAGAGAGGAGGCACAGCTATGCAGGCTTCGCAAAGCACTACGCGGCGCTTTCGCCAGATGAAACCACCCGCCTTTCACAAGCAGCAGCTAGGGTAGGTACAGCTGTAGAGGTTGCTACAAGAGAGGGTGAGAACAGCAGCAGCTGCACCAGGGTGGGAAGAAAGCTGATTAGATAGGTGAGGTCTCGACAACAGCAGCAGTGCCGAGCCACAATAAACCTGGGGTGACCAATTGTAAGACCACGGGCTCAGCGTACCATACACATGGGGCATGACAAAAGAGGAAGCGGCAAGAGTGCCGGGGAACGTGGCCCAAGGGCGGCACACAACGAACGCGCGCGCCGTGGTAGGAACATCAACCCCGGCAGCAAAAAACGTCGCGCGAACCAACTTTGATGGCGCGGCGCCCCCATCTTCGAACTTGTTGTGTTGCAGCAGGAAACAAGCGCTGAATGCTGTGTTGTGTGCTGCAGTAGTTGTCGACTCCACAATACGAGCCCCGTCTTATTATCACAGCAGCAGCTACCCGCCCAGATAGGATGAGTTCCTCGGCCGCCGGGAAGGGCGAGCTGCTAGGCCATTCGACGTGGCACCCGGAGGCGTCGTCCGCTGCCGAAGCAGCGCCTCGCCCGAACGGTTTGGTCCAGGATGGAGCGAGCACGTCGCTTAACAACTCCCCAGAGAGGGCTAGGCGCGCCGCACCCAAGAAGTCGGGGTTCAACATGAAGGTGAAGGCTGGCTGGCTGGCTCGCTTGCAGTTGGGCAGAGCGCGTGTGTGACGACTCACGTACGTCTAGTCTCGTCGCACAAGCAGGGATTCCTTGGGGGCTTATTTTTTTGTATTTTTGCCAAGGATGCGGTTGCCTCTAACACATCATCCCCGAGACCTTTCCCACAACAGCCAACAGCCAGCACTGCTACTGCTACTGCTACTGCTACTGCTACTGCTACAGCAGTACCAATACTCCGGAGTTCATGTGTGTCCTAGTTTTCCTTTTTCGGCCTCTCTCTGCTTCTGTCCACGACTTTTGTCGTTGTGTCTTGCCATACACACCCCCCATCAACATATAGGGTGTAGTTATACCTCGAACGGGTAGTCTTTCTGTGTGTATATTTGTTTCTCCTAATATAGTTTCTCACTCGATCCTGTCAGAGGCATTTACGTGCGCTACATGCATGTACCCTTGTCCATCATGCGTCTTCTGGAAGCGCACGCATATGCTATTGTACATACATCGCGGGTGAAGACTGTTGAGGTTTGAGGTTTGACGGCAATAGCTTTGGGTGAAGATCAACATGGAGCCTTCTGTAATACGACGTTTTATTCGACTTTCCTCCCACATGCTGCTACACCCCAACCCTCAAAAGTGTATGCGGCACAGACTACTAACTTTTTTTGCTTAGTCTCATAATGAGTTGTATGCACAACAGTACTCGCGGCCAGACTACTGAAACGACACGCCCAGCGTCACCCTGTCATGTCCAAACGCAAGACTTCCACACGTTTCCTTTGGACGGGTTATTGTCTCGAACGGGGTAGCGTTTCTATGACACTACGTATATTTCTAAAAACAAGCGCAAATGATAGAGGTGGTAATTGTCCATACGGAGGTTCGCCCGGTTTTTCGGAGATTCCAATAACTCACCAACAGCAACGCGAGCAAATACGTCACATGGGGTTTGCAACAAGGGCGATATGTCCGGGGTAGATGATCCACTCCTACTGTAGTTTTATGTCTGTCAACAATGTCGTCCGCTCTGTGCTATGTTTGCAACTGCCGCATGCCGTGCGGTTGCCACTTGCGACCTCAAGGACAGCACAACTTCAACGACAGCAGCACTGCTACTTGCTGTGCAGCAAGCAGCCTTTACAGCTGGGTTATAGGGTTAGGGACAGGTCTGTGTACCCCCTCCCTGTTCTATTTCCTGATTAACTTCACCTCTCCCGAAGGCGGCCCATGGGTCAGAGGTGGCAAGACATTTTCCTTTCTTTTTTTCGTTATCTTGAACCGCCACCGTTCAAGGGGCAGTACCAAAACTAAACAGATATCCCGCCGTTGGTTGAGCGGAACCAACCACCTTCGCGAGGGTAGTTGTCTAAGCGTTCCGCGTGAAGAACCGCCTTTGCGAGGATTCTAAGCGTTACATGTGAAGAACCTCCTTCGCGAGGGTAGAAAGCGTTACATGTGAAGAACCGCCTTCGCGAGGGTAGTAAGCGCTACATGTGAAGAACCTCCTTCGCGAGGGTAGTAAGCGTTACTCCTACATGTGAAGAACCGCCTTCGCGAGGACTAAGGGTCACATGTGAAACAGGGAAGGAGTGTTCGTAACCCTAACCCCCAACTCAAATCCGTACTCAAGCTCAACGGTTAGGGGCTAAAAAAGGTCCCTGTCCCCTGTTTTATCCTTCATTCGGGAGTTACTTCTCCCGCACTTTCCTGCCAGATCAAGCCCGCACGACCGTTGATACTTTCCTACATTCAAATCCCACAACTCATGAGACCAGCCCACACTCGAGATTCTCAAACGCAGATACTTACGACTCGAGATCTCGGCACCCACCTGTCGAATCCCCCAACACGAGAGTATCGAGGGTGCGGAGCTCCGACAAAGAGCACCCTCGCACATCTCTCACTCGATGAGTCGCAAGACCATCGTTTGACCAACCAACAACGAAGGGATCGAAAGAGGGTGTACTAGAGTAGACTGAGATCGCTGCCCTCCGGGTTCAGCGCACTGCTGACGCCGCGGAGATGGTGGAGCTCGAGAAAACACATCCCCTGCCGTCTACCGGCGACGCAGCGCACCGGCAGCCTCTCTAGCACGTCCAATCGCCGCAGGGAACGCAAGCTTCAAGGACAACGCTCAAGCCAACGCCGCAGCTTGAGAACGAGATCTCGGTAAGTTGAACTGCTCTGCTTGCGCTACGTCGGCCAACGTGACGTTCCTGACCACGCGAAAACCGTTTTCGCGTGGTCGCGACGGTCAAGTTGTCCAACGTATGCGCAGGCGGCACAGAGCGTACCGAGAGATGTTTCTCAAGCCGGGCGTTGGCTTGAGCACCGGCCTTGAAGTTTGCCTCATCTGCGGCGGTTGGACGTCCTGGGAAGGCTGTCAGTGCGCTCCGCCGCAAGCCGTTGGCAACGGGCGTGTTTTCTCGACTTCTTGTCATCTCCGCGAACCCGGGGGGTTTGAGCTATGGGGCGGCGGTAGGGTCATGATGCGCAAGGGTGCAGGCCGAAAGGTTACACATGACGTCAGAAGGGATGGCTTGTTGGGTGCGTGGGCGGCAACAGCAGTGTTCCAGAAAATCGAAATAAGACGAGGCAAAGTTTTCACAAAGTAGGCAAAAGGTACAAACCGGTGGTAGGGTAGGGTCGCATCCAGCCAGGGGGGAAAATTACACCATGGGGGCCCTCGCTTGGAGGACTGATGTTGGCCTTGGTGCCAGTGTTGCCACGCGTGGACCACATCGACTGCATGTTCCACGCGGGACACCAGCCTGCCAGCACCGACGCAAGTCTTCCAAGCGGGCTTCGCTACGGGCGGTCACGCCGCCGGCTCCGGTGGCTCACGTGTCCACAAGTATCCCCCTGCCCCTGCCCCAGAGCTTCCTACCCGTTCGAGACAACATGGTGGATCTCGTGTACGCGCCGTTCACCCTTTTGACTCCCGAACATGAATTCGCGGACTTTGTGGCCTGCAACGACATTATGACCGCTCCTCCCAGCGGTTTGCTGCCTCACACGACGCTCAAGCCATCGCCAGGGTGCGTCACTCGACACCCCCAACAGATACAATACTGCTGCGGGACGACGGCTTGGGTGCCTCTCCGCCCTCATTCCCTTCCCCGGTTGACTTGGACGCCAACTATCACCATGTCCGACGACGCGGAACCGACTAACCTTCCTTCCTCAGACGGGCCAACACTGCTGCATTTGCTTTGCCTGGCCCTTTGCCCGTACTCCCGTGCCTACCGGTTATTGAGTCCGGGTGCAGCAAGTGGAGCAGCAGGCTGAGTGGTATGGGAGTTTGGACGGTTCCAGCGTCTCTCTGTGGTGTTGGGCATGGTCGTAATTGGCGTTCAATAGGGCCGCGGGGGCAAGGGGAGAGGCGGTGAAATCATCTTCGACAGCATAGGTTGTTGGTAACACACCCTGGCGTTGGCTGGAGTGTCGCGTTGGTGTCCAGCAGAACGAGCAGCCAAACCGTTGGGTGGGAGGAGCTGTCGTCATGTTGTTGCATGCTATGTAATAGTCCGGAATTCATGTTCGGGAGTCGAAAGGCCCAAGAATCGTGAACGGTGGTATACATGAGATCCATGATTTTCTATCCAGAGACTGTGTATATGCAACCTACGGACGCTCACGACGCATTTCTTGCCCCTCGAAACGCACCCATTACACGAGGCGGTGTCAGCGGCGTTGTACGTCGATGGCCAACCACCACCCTACCACCGCAGTTGTACGACCCTCACCAATGACACAATCGATGCCCCGACGACGCCCCTTCGTTTGCGGATGGATGTCGTCAACACAACACAGGGTCTGCTCTCGTCCGTTAGCTCGCACTCGTTTAGCAGAAGAACAAAGCCGGGCGGGGCGAAGAAGTCTTCATCTGAGGTGGACACCAAGGGCTGGTTTTTGGAAAAACAGGTGAGCTCAGCGGCTAGTCGTTTTTGTTTGTGTGCAGAGTTTGGCAATCAGGATTGATTTTCCTCTGTGTCATGGACAATCTGGAGTATCAAGTGGTGTCAGGTGCTTGTCGTCAAGTTGGTGTGAAGAGTTTTGCGATCAGGATTGATTTTTCCGCTGCTGCTTCTGCGTCTTTCACGATCTTGATAACACACCGGGGTGGGGTCATGAGAGCGCAGCAGTGTCGCCCAAGGGGTGACGCAAGATGGAAATAGCTCACACCGCTGAGGTGGTTTTTGCCCAACGAACCTCAAGCGGAACCAAAAAGAAAAAATACCAATCTGTTAGAGAGTCTTGTTGTACCACAAGGCAAAAGGCACGTGAGGCAGTTGTTGTCTTACCAGGAAAGTACTGCTTGGAATTTTTGTCCAACTGCAGTGGCATATCGGGATTAACATCTTTTGCGGCCGTGACAAATCTCGTGAACCGTCATCCGTGGCCAGGGCAAGCTGGACCAGGCGGAGCTCATGTACTCCAGGCACTGCGTCCGCGCCCAAAAGAACCACGGGAAGGAGTCGCTCTCCCTCGCGGACAACCTCGACCGGCTGGTGCACGTTCTGCACAAGGAGGGGAAGCTGGAGGAGGCGGAGCCTTTGTGTCGCCGGGCCCTGAACATCAGGCGCAAGTCTTTGGGGGACGACAACGAGCAGGTGTGGGGGGGGGGCGGTACGCAGACCCTATCCTCAACCCAACTTCCCATTGTATGCTTTATCCGACATGTTCACTTCATAGAAAAGGCTAGCGGGTGAGGGGGGCGAGACGGGGAATGAATGAAAACGAGCACGGGGGGGGG